ATTCGGAATCAGCGCAGTTAGGAGTACCTGGCTATGTAACTTTCGACTGAAAACCAAGATAGTGCTTCAGTTTTGCGTTGCGGGCACCTTATTTATCTTTTCTACAAAGCTGTACACATTCAGAACTCAGAAAGGAGAAATTATTCATTCTTTGTTATTCCACATCTTCCAGCAATAATTAAATCTCATTCAAACGTGAACAAGCAAAGAGTAAAGAAAACAAAAATTGTTATGTTTTCTTCCTGCATATCTAAGAGAAAATTCCAATTTTTATTTTCATGTTTTCTTTTCACTAAATTTTTTCATTTTTTATGAAGTAATACTCCTTTTTATTCGCCAGCTTCGAAGGCTAAATGGCATCCGGTCGCAGGTAGGCATGGGACGCACCGAGTATCTCGGTATTCGGTATTCGGGACTCGTTTCAGTCTCGGTATTCGGTATTCGGAGTTCGGTCTAGTCTCGGGATTCGATTCGTATCAGGTGTTAACTAGTTTTATTTTATAGTTTTTTCTGCATATGGAATACCGAGACTAGAACGAGTCACCAATACCGAATACCGAGAGCAGAACGAACCTTGACTATCGGACCCGAATCTTTCGAGCAAGATTCGGTTTCGCTACATGCCTAATCACATGCAAGACACTTTTTCTCAGCAGACACATCACTGAAGTCGCATTTTCTTTTAGAGTGTATTGTCTAAGATTTTTTCCAGATTGAATAAAAATCTGCTAGAGTCTTAATACTAAGAACGATAACGAAGAGAAATTTCTGAAGAAGAGGCTGAGATTTTTACTACAAGCAGTAACCGGGCTTCTTTCCAACTGAAATTTTATGTATGAATTGTGTAATGAGATTTATTTATACAAAACTCAAAAGACGAAAAGTAAAAACAAATGAAAGGGTTTCTTTTATTGCTATTATTGATTGAAGAAGGCAAGTAATGGTACTGTTTACTTTTTTAGTTTCTGTTAAGAATTTTTTTTTGCGTTTTTTTACGGAGAACAACATTTGTGAAAACGTTTACTCGATTTATGGTGGCGGGTTTCACTCACTGTTTTATAAGCACTGACAAAGTAATACTTTGAATCTTCGGCTTATTTTTGAAACGTCTCTTATGCGCGGGAAGGTAAACATTTTTTGGATATCTTTGCGTCATCCTGTAGTCGTTACTTCTCCATCCCCAAACACCCAGCTACTTAAATATATTGACAGTCATCCTCTATCGCTGATCTCTAGCCATGCGCATCCGCCTACTCAGAATCTGAAGTCAGCTCTCTGGAATGTTGACTATGTCTGCTTTAAAAAAGTTGTGGCATCACTCGTAGCAACTTTCATGCGGTCTGAACCTTTCTGCTCGATACGATTCGCTCCCAAATTCAGCCACTCCTCGAGAAGCAGTTCCTTTTGTGCGGACGGTTTCGTTCCCATTCTCATTGAGTTGTAGAATAGTTGCATACTTGAATTCAAGTTTCAGGTATGACATACATGTGGACACTTAGGCAGCTTTCCTTGTAAGACTTGTAATAGTCTTTCCTTTTCAACGAAAATTTAGAAGAATGTGATTGTCATAGTGTAAGCATAGTTTGCGTAGCTCTCCTAGTTATGCCATATCAATACGTTCATTCATGAAACTTTGTATATAAATTGCTTGAACTTTTCAAGCAAATCACATATAAATTGGAGTTCACAATTGATTGAGATTGATGGAATGATGGAATTGCATCGTTGAGAGTTTTAGTTTTCGACATCATTTATGCATATACTGTAAATATAGTAAAGCAATTTTGCTGCACATTCGCGTACCAGCAACGTCAGAGTTTGCGACAAGACCTTGAGTAGTATTGCCTTTATTAACCTTCTGCTAGCTTTGGACGACACAGATGCTCTGTTTTCATTTCAAATAAATTATCAGGATCATACTGTATGGTTTAATTTTCTCAGAAAAAATGACAATGAGGACTACCCTCACTACACTTCATCTTGTCGTGGAAAACGGGGATGAACCAAATATTCGTCTGAAGAGAAATGGTATGGTACACATTTCTATACCATCATTAGACAATCAACACAGATTGTCGAACAAGACACTCAACGTTGGTCATCTCTGTATTGTCTTGAATAAACTGCGAGGTCATTGGAAAATCGAAGGAAAGTCAACAGTAAGTTTACCTACACTATTCAATAATATATATCACTGTAAGACAAGCGTACATGCTTTAAATACATGTACAAATAGAAATAGATAGAAGGTGGTTAGTTTTCATCCACAATCTTAGTTCTTGATTGTTATAGGAAGCGATCGATCTGACCTTCATATTGCTCCGATTATTTAATCAAAATATATAAAATATTTCTCTAATATTTTCATCAATGCCCAAAAGGTCAATATTGGAAACCTTAAGTCACGTATTACGAGATGCGTTTTGTTGATGTCAAAAACAGTCTCTAACTTCGCCTCAGTTACCATAGCCGTGTGAGAGACTCCTATTTTACCTGGTATGGACGTTGAGGCTTCTGTTTGTTACGTGGTGAAAAAGCGCAAATGCGTCTTTCTCTGGCCTACCTTGTCATATTTTGGTGATAGGGATAAAAAACATAGTGTGCTGATTTCCTAGATTTTAGACTGTTTCCTTGATTTTAAATAAAAAATTTCTAATTGCGAGTTTCTTAATGAAAGATGGCAGTGTCTCTTCTTGACTCACATCCATGCTCTGGTCACTTTATGATTGTCTTATACCTATTCAATTTTAACGTGAGTTTAGACTGATGCTGTTGGGCATTTGCCTGAATTCAATCTCCTCGTCATGCAAGGAAAAGTTACTGTGATCAATATTCGAACGTCGATCGAACAAATGATATTTATTGCACCTATGATTACAGTTAAAGGATCAACAGTTGGCAAACAATTACATTTCCGATCTACCAGCGGATCTTTGCGTATAGAAAATTCAATTTACTGTGAAAATTTGCATTTATCTGCTTCTGACAAATCCATTCGACTAAGCAACGAAGCATCCATCGATTGCAAATCATTCACAGTGTCTGGAAAAGGACTTTTCATTGACGGAAAAGTTTTTTCTACGTGGGATAATAAGCAGCTTAACTTGGATCTCGTCATTGAGAAACTGCATGTGGGTATAGACGGTAATATTGGCGCCAAAAATCGTGAACATATGTCAGATATTTTAACTGGAAGCATCAAAGGACAAGTGGCCAACTTCGGCACAATAACTGCTAGAAAGATAATTATATTGCAGATTGGTGGTACCATTCTATCGTTGGGAAACAACAGAGACGACTCCGCACATCGCGGTTTTGAAGCGACAAAGCAAACACGACGCGTAGGCTTGAGCACCACTAATCAGATAGTGCACCCTATGAGCATTGCATTAAATGGTGCTATCCGTGAGAAAAATGTCGATAGAGTAATTAATCTCCTTGAAAGGGGTGTAGATCCGGATGACATCATGTTTGACGACAGCACAAAAACAACGACAACACCGAGACATACGTTGATGCAAGCATATCGTGAAGCATTGAGCGATGCGACTAGAATAAAGAATCCAGAAGATATCGCCACAATTCGTGCCTTATTCGAAGCAAAATGCTGGAGACGTGGTACTATCAAAGCACCAGCGATTGAGATGACAATCGAAGGAGATGTATTGGATTGTGCGCAGTTTCACGCAGCAAATTTGAAATTGATTATTTGGGGAGAGATAGAGTGTGAAGTAGATGCAATTTGGACTAGTGGTTTCGTCGACATTACTACTCAAAAGAATATGAAACTTTTTGGTCAAACAAAATTGAATGGAGCATTTCTGAAGATTGCTGGTGATCTAATCACAGATAAAAGCGCCAAAGTAGCTATCGAGAAACAAGCGATCATTCGTGCAAGACATTTTGAATGCGCAGGCGAATGGTATGTCGAAGAAAAGATGGATATCCGACTCATGGGGTCTTGCAATTTCGCCTTTGGGTCAGCTTTGTCGTCAAACCATCTGTTTATGTTTACAAAAGAAAACTGTATCGTTTCGGGCCATTGGGTATTGGACAGCTTAGAGCTTTTTGTTACCGAACAATTTCTTGCTACACCCACTGCAACGATCATTATCAAAGAGAGTGGTACTCTCGTGAGTAAGAATTATCACAATCAAGGACAGTTGACTGTCGGTCGCAATATACAAATTACTACTGGAACCATGGCACAAGCCGAAAACGCTACAATTACCGTAAAGGATGAATTCAAACTGGTAGTGTTAACGGTATCCGACAGAAATTGGAGTCGACAAGTGATCGCTAATGCGGTGTTTATTGCTACTGCAAATCTCCTGCGATGTAGTGGAAAAATCAATGCAAATTTGACCGAAATACGACTGATGAATCGCGACTTATCACAGTTTGTTCTGAATGGCGACATGTCAGTGAAACTGGGTCCACTATCGTTGTTTGGAGAGAGTGATAATCAAGTAGTTGTTACAAAAGAACATTATTTTCCTGGATTCATCTTGTCCAATGGAATTTTGAATGCCAAAGCTATCATTGCGCCAGGAATTGCCATCGAGCTAGGGAATAATAGCCAAGTCACTCTCATCGGTATCAATACTACTAGTAATAATGATCATGAAATGACACTGAAAATAATGCTTTATTGTGGATGGTTGCATACTCATCCAGAATCAGTTATTAATGCCACTAGTGACGAGGATGACATACCCCAACGATTTATTTGCGAACATACATGGATTCATGCAGGTACTCTACAACAAACAAGTACATTGGTAAACTTTTCGGTCAACTACCTTATCAATACTGGCCGGTTAACTTTTCTTGGCTTTGAAAATCATTTATTTAAAGCAGTTTTTCTTGTTGGAGAACGATTGGTGAACAAAACCACAATCTCATCTGTCATTCTTCAAGTCATTGGCATGGGTACAATGGAAAACTGCGGTCAAATTACAGTAAAAAACAGCATCGCAGTCAAAACACACGATTTCGTTAATCAATCTGGATCGATTGATGCGCAGAAAATCTCAATAGAATATCTTACAAGCGAGGTGACTAATTTGTCTGGAAAAGTTAACGCATCCATGAGTCTATCTGTCAATGCCACAAAATCAGCTAGGTTCGACTTTCTCTGTACCAACATCGACCAAGAATACTTTTTGCTTCCACAAGAGCAATTCTTAATGAAATGTCCGAAGCAACTTAGAATTGCTGCTGCTATTCAATATAGAAAAATATCAATGAGAGCAAGAACCACTTTGTCCACCAGTCAACAAATTGTCATTGATTCAGTAACTGGTTTTCCAAGCTGCATCGTTAATGTATCTGAAAGTTCAAGAGTTAGTGAAAAAAGCGAACAAATTCCAGCCCATGGCACCCCACCACAAATTTCAGTACTTGTGACTGAAAAAGGTATTCTGTCTACAGAGTTACTCAACATTCAAGGACAATGTCAGCAGTTCGACTTTACGATTAATGGAACAACAAAAATTGATAACCTTCAAATAGCTAAAACTATTGATGTTATATTAGTACAAGGATGTGGTCCAGATCAGACAGTAAAACAAATTTTTTGTCATGGAAAATCTTTGGAACTTGGGAATTTGTCAAATTTAGGGACCTATTTAATTGACTGTACTTCAATCACTGTATTGAAGGGTAGTTCAGTTGAACTCGGAAGTGCAGAAGAAGAGATCACCAAAGTATCAGCCGTGGAAAATATTCACCTTCTGGGAGATGTTCAAGTAAAAAACAGTCTATTATTTTCATCGAAAACAGATGTAAAACCGTCGGTGAATATAGAAGGAACAATAATGGGTACGGCAACGAATTCTACACTTTTTCACATTGATGGCGCTACACTGACTGTCTCAGGAACAATCCACAGATTCGAAACATGTGAAGCAAAAATCAAGACGCGTTTGGACGTTTTAGATAATGGCAACTTTCATAGCATGCAAACTTTATCTATAGACGGCGAGTGGATAATCTGGAACGGAAAGGTTAGTCGATGCAAAAAAGTGATAATCACCGCATGGGGACTTCTGTGCTCTGGTGAAATAATTACGGAGATTGACGAGCTGGAAATGCAATCGGGTTTAGTTTTCTCGAACATAGGTCGAATCAGTGGTACGCTATCGACATTTGGTGCTCCATTCATATTCAATGTTTCATTAAACAACACGAATGAAGCTGCGGCCATGGGTACTAATGCTACTAAAGGTATTTTGGATATTAAAGCACTGGTATGTTTGTGTTCTGCTAGTCAAATGCACGCAGCTAGCATACAAAACACATCTGTGCTGCTATTCAAGTTTGCAGCACTAACCGCTGCTGAAACGTTGACCAACGATCAATTGAAACAGTGGAAAAGTACCGTTGATGATCTCAGTAAAAACTTCTCATCAGAATCAGTATCTTACGAGGATATTTGCCGAACGATGCAACAGATGTCTGGATCTAGCTTAAAAACTGAAATACAAATGAGAGATGTAGTCGATTTATATGCTACGATCAAATCGATAGTTAGTCAAATGAAAAACAATGGAATATCAACATTTAGTGTTCCTGTTTTAGTTGAAGCGTTGATGAAAGCGAACAATCACTTTCAAAATGTTTCATCTATCAAAGAACGTTTGTTACGGGTGCCACAACTGGCTAGAGAACTGTATAACAAAGGAGTTCGAAAGCTGAAGTCATTGCATGAAACGTTCGGATTCAGTGGAATAAAACCAACTGATCCAACAAAAAAAGGAATTCAGGAGACTGGTATGTGGTCCTATCAGTCTGGTCTTATGGCTGCTGGAGCTGGTTACACGGCAATGTTTGTCGAATCATGGTACAATGATGGGGCAGTGTCATCGTCAGCTGGAGATATTCATATCGGCAGCAAAAAAATCACGTAAAGTTCAACTGGTCGACTTCTCAGTGCATACGGATCATTATTTCTTGAAGGAGAATCAGTCGACGTTAGCAACAGTTCGGCTGCGAAAGAGATGTTGATTCAGGTAAGCCAGTTTTCTTTATGGAACGGTAACATAATCTCAAATATATGTACTCTCACACTTTTTCGCTATTATTATATGAGAACAAGCAGTCACTTTTCCCCCAATTGTACAGGTAACTTGTTGACAAAGAGCTAGTCAGCGTCCCAATAAAGTCAACGAGATGACTATTGTTCGGTAAAACTCGACGTCATAATCTCAAAAATTCTGTGATTCCAGTCATTATAATTTTCTCAACACATATAGGCATGATAAGTATGACTGATTAATAAGTGTAGGACGAAGTGTAATGGTCATGTCAGAGCAGCTTTATCGATTATAGTAATAATCAATAGATGCATTGCGCTAAACAAACGAGTTGCTTTATTATGACGCTTCTTATCATCAGAACTTTGTACTTAGCTTGAGACACTTTTATGCATATGTTGATCATGTGAAAAATATTAGAATCTCGAGTTCTGATTTGAGTTACTCATACAGATCCTTTTTGACGGCAGACAAAGAATAAGGTAAAAAGAAGTGTGTCAATCTTATATAAGAGGCAGTGTTTTGAGATTACAGTCGAGATACTTCTGTCCTATCACTTTTACACACGATGCGTCAGTAACAGAAGTTATCGATCCTGTTCCATAATGTTATCTGATATATTCAATTGATCAGTGAACACACTATCAATAAAACATTCCTTTAGTTATGAAATACGTTATTGTATTTTGAAAAGATCATGCGATGTAGGTTTTCATAGTGTGTATTAACACATTTTTAATAATAAATGGATACTGATTTAGGCGAGCAAATCTCTAGCTGCAGCAAATATCGACGCAAAAATCGCTAAACTTGTATCTCTAAGTGGTAACATCAATGTTTCTGGTGCAACGGCAAACGAAATAATCGTTCAAGCCAACAAAGGCGCTGTGACTGCAGAAAAACTGACTGTCGATCATTTAGTTGCCTCAGCCAAGAACGATCTGAAGTTGGGTGAAATAAAAGCAGAAACGATTATAGCAAAGTCTGAATGCGGTGCATTTGAAGCCACCGGTAAAATTGAAGCAGACAAGATGGCTATTTCTGCAGAAAAAGATATCAAGTTATCCTACGATAATAGCAGCAAAGCCGACCATAAATTTGGTTCATTGTCTTTAGACACGAAGCGAATGCAAAAAAAAGAACTGTATAGTATGCTAGAAAGTAGTGGTGCTTTTGCCTCAATGCAGATTTCTGACAAATTGGATCTGGCTGTCACTGATCAAGCAATAGTTCTCGGTTCAGTCAATCGATCTTGTGATCTCTCAGTAACAGGTAACGAGTGTTATTAAATTGTTTGAAATTCAGTCAAAGATTGTGTGTTACTCCGAAAGAAAAGAATCGACATATTCGTTCGTTTATAGTAGTATCATCACAATTTTAATTCAGTCATAAAAATATTTTTTAATGAGAAAGCTTTTTTATTCAGTACTGCAACGAATTAAAATAACAGTCCAAGAAATACTGCTGGTTAGGGTTGGTTGTGAACCCTTAGACAGGCCGCACTCAACTCATGATTCAATGCTACAAATCAGATAACGTGGGTTCTTGCTTTTGTACTTATAAATAAGCGTTGGATCATGTCACTTACAGCCAAATTGATGACTTGAACGTATCTTATCTATAGTGTTCATTTCGAGTCCAGAACTATTATTCAACTCCGTAACCTGTGCTTTAGATTCGATATAATGAATTGATCGGTATTAGACTGTGGATTTGTCTAATCCAGCCATGAAGTGAAAGGAACAAACATACACAGCATTCTGTTAAAATTTACAAAAAACTTTGACTATCTGACAACGAATACGATTTCTTTCATTGACAAAATCTGGGCACTCACTTACCCCTATCTTACGCACTGAATTGTTGTTGTAGTCCTTTTAATATATGATTAAAATCGTTTTTATAGCAGATTCCTAGAGTAGTAATAACATCGAAAGTTTTTGCACTAAAAGTTTATCTTGGCTAAAAAAGCTCTAGCTTCAGCAGAGAGTGCTTCTTACTCTCTAAAAAAAATCCTTAGCTTACAAAACGAATAGCGGTTTTGGCATTTGCTCCTAATAGAAACCGATATCCGTGTCGTACCACCCTGCGTAACCGTTTCGCAGAACACGCTTCAACGTTTTTTGCCTTGTGAAGAAACGGATTTAGGTTTTGTACCAGGGAAAAAACGTTGAAACGTATTCTGCGAAACGGTTATGCAGGGTGGTACGACACGGATATCGGTTTCTATTAGGAGTAAATGCCAAAACCGATATTCGTTTAGTAAGCTACGGATTTTTTTTAGAGACTAGGCGTCACTCATCAGTTGAACTTTCAATGTACTTTAGATTCTACACAGAAGAAAACTTTTTCATATTCGATATACTCATCGCGAAAGAGTTTCAAAAGAAATTCAGACACTATAATACGTTCTCTATAGTGCATAAGAACTTGTTGTACTTCTGGCAATTCCACTTCTCGTTCATCAGACAACGTAGTATAGTAATCCATATATAATACACATGCGCATGAGTTGATTTCGAAGATCTACATGTATATGCATCGTGAAATTCTATCCAAATATTTCTGCATTTATCACTAGGAGCTTCTATTTTATATTGCAGGCACATCGGTGAAAGTTTCGGGTGACGTGTCAGCCAAAAATTTGAACCTAACTGCTCTGCGTGGAAATGTAAGCGTCGATAAAAATGCACACCTCAGAGCTGAAAAAGATCTTAACATGAAAGCAAAAGAAAATGTAGTCATGGAGGCCGGATCTAAAGCGACAGCTGGTCAGGATGTTAACATGACAGCAGAGGAAAAGTCGATTCAGCTGACAAACGCCACTGTGACCGGGGGTCGATTTGTGGGCATGGATGCAAAACAAGATATTAAGATTCATGCAGAAAAGGAACCTGGACAACGAGCAAAAGCAAGTAAAGTGACTGCTGGATCAGGAAAGGAGTATGGCGAATACGGACGAAAACTGGGTATTAAAATGAACGCAGGTAGAGACCTGACAATCAAGGCTTCGGAAGTATCAAGCAAAGCTGACAATGTTATTCAAGCAGAAAACAATGTCGAGATTCTCGCTGAAACAACTGAAAAATCAAAAACTACGAAGAAAAAATCTGGATTGTTTGGTTGGAAGACAACTACAACTACCGAAAGTTGGACAGAAGTTGATGAATCGACTGTTAAGGCCGGGGGGAAAAACATCATAACCGCTAAGAAAGGGTATATTTTGAGCGTAGCTTCAAATCTAAATGCTGTAGAATCGAATTATTTACATGCCAAAAAAGACATCAAACTGCTGGATATTGTTCGAAGTCGTCGACAAACAACAGAAACAAACAAATGGTGGGGATTGTCCAGCTCAACTGACGTCTCAAATGTGCAAGAGAGTTTCGCGAGTCATTTGATAAGCAAAGGTGAAGATGCAACTATTATCGTATCTGATGAAGGCAACATTCACTTGGAAGGAACTACCGCTGATTGTTCAGCAGGTAAACTGGAACTTATCGCTGAGCAAGGTGAGGTGTTAATTAAAGAGCGAATTTTAACGGACACTAAATCACACACAGAGTCCGGTCTTACTATTGGCATTGGAACAATTGGATATGAAACGAAAGAGTCGAATTCACGCCAAGACCGACTACCCACTGAAAAAAATAATCAAAATTCATGCAGGATCCCGCAGGACTTTGCGCAGGATCCCGCGGGTTATCGGTATTAAAATATCTGGCGATGTTTCTTACCTTTACGCAGGATTTTTATACTGC